TGATTTAAGTGCCAACCGGATTCATCAAGTTGGTTACGTTAGCTTAACAGACCTAATTTTCTTAAATTTTAAGAATTTTTCGAGAAAAATCCAAAAAATCATAACAAATGATGCAGAAACAGAGTACATCATAACTATAGAGAAATTTTGTACTTGTAAGTATACTAACGTATTTTGATGCGTTGATTACAAAAGTGATAGTGAAAATTGGCGCAAATTTGATTAACATGATAAAAACCATAAAAAACACCATAAAATCATGGTTTTTTGCGATTATCTCATAAAAAAAAATTTCAAAAAATTATTTAGACAAAAGTTGTAGGTCTCAAAAAAAACACAAATTTCATCTCTTATACATTTTTTATCAAAAGTGATCATTTTTCGAGAAAAATCCAAAAAACCATAACTAACATAAAAAATCGGACAAGTGCGAGTTACACTCGCAATAAAACCGAGGGTTCCGTACCCTTAAACCTAAAATTTAAAGGGGTTAAAGTGTGAAGGCGGGTAAAAAAATTCCAATTTTGCTTAATTTTTCCTGTAATGTGAGCATGAAAACATATAGACACATAGTTACATATATAGAAAATTATCAGTTTTTCCTTGAAAACGCTATGATTATCAACTCCAATCGTGCTCACTATATTTTTCTTGTCATCTACACCCTTTAGATAAAATTTTTCTTCGTTTTTTTGAAGAAAATTCATGATTTTTATCGAAAATTATCAGTTTTTCCATGAAAACGCTATGATAATCAACTCCAATCGTTCTCGCAATATTTTTTTTTGTAATCTACACATAAAAAAACGTAAAAATGTATAAATTTGAATCCCTTAAGATAAAATTTTCTGCTTTTTTTATTCGAAAAATCCATGATTTTTTCTACAAATATGAGTTTTCCTTAAAAACAAAATATAATCATCAACTCCAATCGTGTTCGCTATATTTTTCCTGTAATTTTCACGTAAAAATAGATTAGTGTACCAAATTTGAGCTTTCTATGTGAAAAAATGTGGCCACCAGGGGGATACATAGTCATTTTTCGTAAAAATTTATGGTTTTTCCTTGACAACGTTATGATAATCAATTCCTATAAGATTCCCTATATTTTTCCTGTAATCTACACGCCAAAATACATACACTGAAAAACTTTTGGGGCAGCTGCTCTCCCAATCGAAATATTTTTATATTCAGTTAACTTCACTCATATAAAAACTCATGATAAATATTGAGTATGAAGTTAACTGAATATAGAAATTTTTCGATTGGGAGAGCAGCTGCCCCAAAAGTTTTTCAGTGTATGTGTACCAAATTTCAGCCCTCTAGATAAATTCGTGTGGCCGCTAAGGGAGGGGTACATGCCTTGCTTCACTAGTCTTATTAATAAGGTTCCCCCTTCGGGTACGGAACCCTAAAAATGATGGAAAAATAGTGCGGACAAAGTCGGGTGGTATCCACAGCAGTATTTCACGTAACCTGATGAACGCGCCTTCTGCCGCGTAAGGTGATTGTAATTTTTTGGAGTGAATGATTTTTTGAGAGTGGTCGTTTTATTATAAGGGATGATTTTTTAAAATTTTTATAATGTTTTTTTGTAAGCCCTAAATTAGCCCAAAAATCCCACCTACTTTATTTTAAAATTTTTTTAAATTTTCTTCAATGGAGGTGCTAGCGGAAAGTTCCCCTGGCACCTCCACCCAAAATTTGATTTTTTGAAAAATATAAAGGAGCCCAAAAATCGGGCTTTGCGCCCAAAATTTTGGTATACTTGAATTATAAAAATTCAATTCTGGAGGTTCCAGCAGAAGGGATCTCAATATTATTGGATAAAAATTTCCAATGTATCTTAGACCAAACAGACGTCTCGACACAACAGTTGCGCGTCCGACTAGGTGAATTTTTTTATTCTTTTTTTTAATTATTCAAAAACAGAACAAAACGCCCTCCTGGAAATTACGTATTTTTGAACCTGTGACACTTGAGAAATTTTGCCTCATATGGGTCTTAAAGTGTACGATTTAAGGTTTAATTTAGGCCTATATAGAAGTCTGTAGCACGTCAGGTTCAGGAGAAAAAAGGAATTCCCTTTTAACTTTCCCTGTCACATATATTAATGTGACGTTTTTGTGGTTTGTAGGGACCATGAACTATTTAAAAACTATGTTTTTTGTCAAACCTTTCCACCCTTGATCAGGTCCTCTTCTGTAAATTTATTATTTTGAAATCTGTAAAGAACATAAAAATTCTATTGTTTGATAATTTGTAATATTCTTTGACGAATTTCACTTTCATTTAAGGGGTTAGTACCACATCCTACTTGTGATTGGCGGACACGATATCTCCAATTCAGGTCACCGAAAAATTACATTTTTGATATTTGGTTGAAAAGTAAGCTCGTCGCTATCGTCGGAACTACAATCAACTATTTTCGATGAAAAAAACAAAATGGCGGAATTTTTTCATTTTTGACCTTGTTTTTTCAACTTAAATTGTTTTAAAAAATGGTTAAATATTAATGAAAAATTATGATTCTAGTTCCGACGATAGCGGTATATGTGTAGAATAAACCATGAAAATTTGAGCTTAATCGGTGCAATAGTTTTTCTTTTGTGATGTCCGCCAGGTCAAAAAACGTTGTTTTGAGAAAAAGCGAATTTACAAAAACATGTCCTTTTTCAAGAAAATGCCCCCTTACACGACAGGATACATTATATGCTTTTATATAAATATTTATATACATATATGTGTAATTTGATATATATTTATATTTATATAGGCATATATTTATAAAAGCATACATTGTACTCACGAAGAGTACGCTCCATGAGCGCGTGACTTTTACATTGTACCCCGTTTTTTGATGTTACCGAAGTTTCCAAACAAAATAATAGTTTCCATAGCATTTCTACATATCTCTACTACAAGAATATGCAGTTTTTAGAAAATAGATTTTCTTGAAAAAAGATGTGGTACTAACCCCTTAAATTGTTATAGAAAAGAAGGAAAACATTAAAACTCTATAAACAAGTTGTAAATTCAGATGTTCATTACATGAACATTTTGCTTCCTCTTTACGATCAGCAAAAAAATTTGCTTCCTCGTGAAGAAAGCAAAATTTTATTGCCAAAATGTCAATTTTTGATTTTTTAACTTTCATTAATTCTTTAAATTTACTTCAAATGTATACTTTATATATATCGATCGATTCGTCTTGACGTAAGGAAAACGATTTTATTATATATAACCTTAAATTTTTCTATTTAAAAATTTTTTCGATTAAAACAAAATTTTTGGAAAAAAGACGATAAAATTTTTTTTTTGGGATATTTTTCAAAATCCTTTGGTCAGATTTGAGATATTAATATGATAAATGAGCCTACCAAATTTTATCTAAATCCATTAAAACCTGTTAAAGTTATCGACTAAACAAAAAAGGGATCCACACACACACAGACATACACTAAACGAAAGGACTACAAAGCTTCCTCTACGAGGAAGCAAAAAAACTAAAACTTGGCTTTTCTTGATTCATGTAATTTTAATAATTATTGCACATAGTAATTTTTTCGATGACTATAAAACGGATTAAATCTTCAAAAATATTCAAACTAAAATTTTTCTTTTTTATTTTCTAAAAGCCAATAAAATTCTGAAAGAAATGACACCTTGACAAAGAAAATACGTCAATTTTGCTTCCTCGTGGAGAAAGCTTTGTAGTCCTTTCGTTTACAAGATTTTTAAAAATGGTCAAAATATATATATTTATTTCAATGTTAATGCTTTGTCCACGAGGAAGCAAATTTTTTTGCTGATCGTAAAGAGGAAGCAAAATGTTTATGTAATGAACATCTGATTTTACAACTTGTTTCAATTAGATATCAAGGAAAACCCAATTTTCAATGTTTTTGTACTATTTTTTTTATTTCTCTGGCAAAAATTAATATTTTTCAACGTTCTTGGGCTCATAGGAATGGTATTTTGTTATACAATTCAAATTATTTAAAACAATTCATGTCCACATTCTTCCTTAGTGTATACAAACCGTGACAGACGGCTCAAAAAAACTTAAACAATTATTAGTAATATTTAAATGAGAGAAAATGTGTAAATCTTAAATTTACTTCATTTTTAAACATTATATTTTGTCGTAGAGTTGAATTTTTTATTTATTGTATAACAAAATACCATTCCTATGAGACCAAGAACGTTGAAAAATATTAATTTTTGCCAGAGAAATAAAAAAATAGTAAAAACATTGAAAATTGGGTTCTTCTTAGATATCTAATTGAAAAAGTAACATATTATTCTCTTTGTGAAGGTGTCATTTCTTTCAGAATTTTATTAGCTTTTAGAAAATAAAAAGGAAAAAATTTTAGTTTTAATATTTTTGAAGATTTAATCCGTTTTATAGTCATCGAATAAGTAGAGGTAGTGTATAAAAGATAAAAAAAATTATTCTTTAGGAGATATTCACAAAAAAAATTTTATATCACATTCCAAGTATTTGTTTTACTAAATTCTTTAAAAAATGGTAAATTTTCGGACAAACACTCAATATCCTTTCATTCATTTACTGAGTTTGTAGTTAAAATTCGAGTCATTTCAAAAACCAATCTCTTTCTATATTTTGCAGTTTTATTTAATATTTTCGTGTTATTAAAATCAAAAGTGTGATCAAGTGAATCTGAAAGTTTTGTTAAGGCAGTTCATAGATTCTGTTTTTTTTTAGAAATTTTTTTGTTTCTCAAATTTATTGACCCCGACAATTGTTGCAGAAAATTGTAAAACATTTTCATATACTTTGCAGAAAATAATAAATTTACTGAAGAAGTCTCAAACATGGGTCAAAAAGTTTAAAAAAAACATCTAATTGAAATACCCTACAAACCACAAAAATGTCACAATAATATTTCATTACCTTGGGTCAGAAAATATTTTTAAGAACCCTATAAAATAATAATCAATAAATTAGTAACACACAGCGAATATCAATTGCAGACCTGTGCAGATGTATCCTCCAGATATTGCCTTTTCTCGGTGATTAATTTGATTCGATCTGGACACGAATTTGAATTTTCCTTGGCTTGCTCATTTTTCCCTATCATATTCAGAAAGGGGATGAAATACTTGTTAAAATAGAAATAATAAAACACTAAAAATTAAGTGTAGAATTTATCACAGACTTCAACTTGTTAAAAATAAATTCAACAGCCATCCCAACAGCAGCATTTCTATCAGCTGTTTTTTTTGGCACGAGAAAAAACCGAGCTTAAACCGGTTCTACTTCCGCTAAAGAGCCCTGAATCGAATAAGAAAGGTGCATCCTTTGTAACCCTATCTACCTCGCTGTATTAATTCAATTACATTTGAAAGGAATTAATTTGCAAAGCGCGGTAAAATGATCATTTACAAGTACAACTTTGTTGCGACCTTGCAACACTACTATATGCAAAACTAACTACACGAACACATATATGTATATGGGCCAACACACAATGACAAAGTAAATAAACGTAAATGGTGAATAGGGCACTTTAACATGAGGTAGAAAACGATATAAGATATTTGTTTGTTTCTCTCTCATTCTTACGTGATACAACGGTACGCCTGAAATGGATTTAAATGAAAATTGCTTGCACTCTAAAATTTCGTGTGGGTTTTGAATCTTTGAGGTTCCCAGAGTATTTTTAAACAAAAAATAATTTAACCGCATTAGCCCTTTTCGAGAAAAGTAAATTTAAAATTTTTTCATTGATAACATAGCCCTACAAAAATGAAAGTATTGTGTGCGGATGACCCAAGTACTACGGAAGCTTCTACGCGCCACCTCGTAAAGGCCTTTCTCCAATATACAGAAGCCTGTACGGCTCACGAGCGTCTCGGACGCAAGTGGCGGTGTTTCGTACCACAAGTGGCACGAAGTCCGTCCAACTTGTGTCAAGTTCGTTAGTTCGTGCCACTTGTGGAAAGTGTTTTTTGAAGGGTCATTCACAAATATGACAATTCCGTTGGATCCTGTTGCTATCTATTTCGTCAGTGCTTTTCATTTCAATTTCATGTGAAGAAGAAGAAATGAATTTTATAAGATATTAGTAATATTAGCATATTAGTAAATGTCATCGAACAAACTTTTTATAGTTCACACATAAATACTCCTTCCAAACGTAAATATACATATTAATAAACTAAGGATTCCACTAAGAATTAAGCGGAAGTTTTTTCTTAGTTTTTTTAATTTTTCTTAGTTTAGAATAAAAATAAGATTTTTTGGTTATGTTGTCATTTTTTAATTTAAAATACATGAAGAGGATTTTATTTTTTAAAATCAAAAGTATATTTTTATGAATATTTAAGATTAATAAAGATGTCAATATCATTTGTTTACACTGAAATGTAATCTATTACATGTATTTTCAATTAAAAAATAACAAATTCATTTTTATTCAAAAACATTAAACGGACTTGCCCGGATGAAATTATACTTGAAATGAAAAGCACTGACGAAATAGACGGCAACAGAATCGAACGAAATTGTCATATTTGTGAATGACCCTTCAAAAAATCCACTTTCCACAAGTGGCACGAACTAACGAACTTGCCACAAGTTGGACGGACTTCGTGCCACTTGTGGTACGAAACACCGCCACTTGCGTCCGAGACGCTCGTGAGCCGTACAGGCTTCCGTACCAATAGGATCAAGGCCTTTCTCCAATAGGATCCTAAACTCTTGCGTTGCGTATGCATTGCGTCGGTTGCTATTGGCAACCAATGCTAAAATCAACGCGTCAGTTACGCAACGCAAAAGTTTAGGTTCCTATTGGAGAAAGGCCTTGACGAGGCGAAACCAACTTATGCTCGTTTCATATTTAGCATACATGTAACGCAGGAATATGAAACACTGAACTCTATATATCTGGAATGCTGTCTGCCATTGAAAGTCGCGAACCGAGAGAGAGGTCTGATTTTTGTATTCCCCTCTTTGTCGGTACAGGTCCATTAGAAAATATTTAACAGTATGTATACGTGAACATGACATAACACAGTTAACAGTAAAATTTTGGAACGTATTGTATTACGCCTGCGCAGTTTAGCAAGAGAAGGAGAGGAATACAAAAATCAGCCCTCTCTCTCGGCTCGCGACCATCAATGGCAGAAAGCATTCCAGATATATAGAGTTCAGTGATATGAAACTATATAATAGTCCGTCTACAATCTCGGTGACACAAAAACTGAATGGTCAGGAGATGCAGTTGTGCAGGAACAACCAACGGTTGGTTTAAAGGTGTTTTCACAACATAATTAGTATAAACATTTTAAATCAGACTGTGTCAGTTCATCGAGATATTTCGAGTTCAAGATATGACGTTAGAAGTAGTGTGACCAGGCCGCAGATAGACTTGACCCCCACCATGTTTCCATCCGCACACTAACACATACACATATATTTCCTGATAAATATATTAAGTAAAAAATTAATTATTTATTCAAAAATGTTTTTATTATTAATTTTCAAATGTAATAAACAATAATTCCTGTATGATTATAATAATTTATCGAAATTAATTTTCAGGCTTAATAATAAATTAGATTTTAATGAATCTTTTAAAAGAATTCAAATAATTTTTTATTTTATTTTGTAAAATATACTTAAAGAGAAAAAATAAAATTTTAAAATAATGCTTTCAATTAAAGGAATATATGTATAATAACTATTTCATTTTATTTTATCTCTTTAATTATAATAAAAAAATATAATTTTGATATTTCATGATGTTTTTAGGGTTCCGTACTCGGTTCGGAACCCTATTAATATCGGTTTTTTTGAAATCGTGTACCCCCCCCCCCTTAGCGTCCACACGAATTTATCTAGAGGGCTGAAATTTGGTACACATATGTATTTTCGCGTGTAGATTACAGGAAAAATATAGCGAACCTGATAGGAATTGATTATCATAGCGTTGTCAAAGAAAAACCATGAATTTTTACGAAAAAAACTGATTTTTTCTCCCTAGGGCAAACAATATCCAACCCAGACAGTTCATATTTAGTATACAAATGTATTTTTACGGGAAAAATACGGAGAAAAAAAAGCGATCACGATTAGAGTTGATGATTAACTTTTTATCAAGTTTTTCAAGATTAAATGACAATTTTAGGAAAAAAATGTATTTTTCTACCAAAAACGAACAAAATTTTATTTAAAGGAATTTAAATTTATTTATTTTAACGTATTTTTACGTGTAGATTACAAAAAAAATATAGCGAGCATGATTGGAGTTGATTATCATAGCGTTGTCAAGGAAAAACCATGAATTTTTACGAAAAATACCTAAAAATTACTATGTACCCCCCCCCCCCTAGCAGCCACATCTTTTGACATAAAGAGCTCAAATTTGGTACACTTACGTATTTTTACGTGAAAATCACAGGAAAAATAAAGCGAACTTGATTCGGATCAATTTACATAGCGTTGTCAAGGAAAAATCAAAAATTTCGAAGAAAATGATTTATTCTCCTAGCGCACATATAATATTCAACCCAAACTGTTCATATTTGCTGTAAAACAGTATTTTTGAGTGAAAAATACAGGGAAAAAATGTAAGCGCAATTGGAGTTGATGATCAATTTTTATCAAATTTTTGAAGAAAAATGATAAATTTAATAAAAAAATGTATTTTTCCGCAAAAAACGAAAAAAATCGGACAATTGCGAGTTACACTCGCACTGAAATCGAGGGTTCCGTACTCGAAGCGAACTTATTTGGTATAAAAATAAATGTTTAAAAAATATGTGTTGTATGTTAAATAATTTATGTGATACAAAAAGGAACAATTTTCTTAAAATTTTTTTTTAAAAATTGTTCCTTTTTGTATCACATATATTATTTAACATACAACACATATTTTTTAAACATTTGTTTTTATACCAAATAAGTTCGCTTCGAGTACGGAAACCTCGATTTCAGTGCGAGTGTAACTCGCACTTGTCCGATTTTTTTTATTAAATTCTAATTTATTATTTAACTCGAAAATTATCTTCTACAAATTATTATAATCATACATTGAATTATTGTTTAGTATTATTTATTTTTAAAAAAGAGATAAAATAATTTGTATATTAATAATAAATCAATTAGTTGATCAATTATTAAATTAATAATTAATTAATTAATATTTTCTTTTTTATAAACGAAGTAAGTAGTCTGAAATAAAATTAACAATATATAATTATTTAATTAATAATTGTGTTAATTAAAAATTATCATAAAAAAGAAATTATTAATTAATTAATTATTAATTTAATAATTGATTAATTAATTGATTTATTATTAATTATTATACAAATTATTTTATCTCTTTTTTAAAAATAAATAATACTAAACAATAATTCAATGTATGATTATTGGCGATTCAAACAGCTACACTAGCGCCACAGTTGAACTAATTTAGGTGTGACTCGCTCTGTAGCACTCCATGTGTTTTAAATTATTTTTTTTTATTTAACGCTTAAAAATAATTTTACAAACGCAATAAAAATATCAGAATAATTAAATAATTTGAAATAAACTGTCAAAACAGAGACTGCTTTAGAGCGAGTCACGCCTAAATTAGTTCAACTGTGGCGCTAGTGTAGCTGTTTGAATCGCCAATAATAATTTGTAGAAGATAATTTTCAAGTTAAATAATAATCTTGAACTCGAAATATCTCGATGAACTGACACAGTCTGATTTAAAATGTTTATACTAATTATGTTGTGAAAACACCTTTAAACCAACCGTTGGTTGTTCCTGCACAACTGCATCTCCTGACCATTCAGTTTTTGTGTCACCGAGATTGTAGACGGACTATTATATAGTTTCATATCACTGAACTCTATATATCTGGAATGCTTTCTGCCATTGATGGTCGCGAGCCGAGAGAGAGGGCTGATTTTTGTATTCCTCTCCTTCTCTTGCTAAACTGCGCAGGCGTAATACAATAAGGTTATTCAAGTTGGGTGGGGGAAAGCCAAGATGGATGATGGCTGGTGCACAAACATCCATCTTGGCTTTCCCCCACCCAACTTGAATAACCTTATACGTTCCAAAATTTTACTGTTAACTGTGTTATGTCATGTTCACGTATACATACTGTTAAATATTTTCTAATGGACCTGTACCGACAAAGAGGGGAATACAAAAATCAGACCTCTCTCTCGGTTCGCGACTTTCAATGGCAGACAGCATTCCAGATATATAGAGTTCAGTGTTTCATAAGGTTATTCAAGTTGGGTGGGGGAAAGCCAAGCTGGTGCACAAACATCCGGTCTATCAGCACACATTTCCACGTATTTCTCGTGGGAATGAATGCTGATAGGCTGATAGGCCGGATGTTTGTGCACCAGAAATCATCCATCTCGGCTTTCTCACACCCAACTTGAATAACCTTATATTCCTGCGTTACATGTATGCTAAATATGAAACGAGCATAATTTGGTTTCGCCTCGTTAAGGCCTAAGGCTGCAGTCCCATGGCAGCGTTTTGCGTTGCGTTTTGTCACTAGACCATGAGTGTAAAAGAGATGCAGATATATGTTTGCTATGTTTACACTCAGGGTCTAGTGACAAAACGCAACGCAAGACGCTGCCATGGGACTGAAGCCTAAGCAGAATAGATTCTTGAACGGGAACGCAATCGTAAACGGAAACGTAAGAATGTGTAAGAGAAGGATAGCAAATATCTTTATTCTTCTCTCACCCATTCTTACGTTTCCGTTCACGATTGCGTTCCCGTTCAAGAATCTATTCTGCTTAGGCCTTTACGAGGTGACGCGTAGAAGCTTCCTTAGTACTTGGGTCATCCGCACACAATACTTTCATTTTTGTAGGCCTATGTTATCAATGAAAAAATTTTAAATTTACTTTTCTCGAAAAGGGCTAGTGCGATTAAATTATTTTTTGTTTAAAAATACTCTGGGAACCTCAAAGATTCAAAACCCACACGAAATTTTAGAGTGCAAGCAATTTTCATTTAAATCCATTTCAGGCGTACCGTTGTATCACGTAAGAATGAGAGAGAAACAAACAAATATCTTATATCGTTTTCTACCTCATGTTAAAGTGCCCTATTCACCATTTACGTTTATTTACTTTGTCATTGTGTGTTGGCCCATATACATATATGTGTTCGTGTAGTTAGTTTTGCATATAGTAGTGTTGCAAGGTCGCAACAAAGTTGTACTTGTAAATGATCATTTTACCGCGCATTGCAAATTAATTCCTTTCAAATGTAATTCAAACTTTTTTTATTGTATTTATAGAAAGAAAAAATTCAAATAGTAGGCAGTGTCAGGGAAAACTGATGAAATTGACCCCCTCTATCTCCCCCAAAATTTCAAAAAATTCAAAACTTCTTTTGGAAATATTTTACTATCAGGTAGGACAACAATTTCCCCAAGTTTCACTTTTTTCGAGAAATCAATTTTTTAACTCAGGGCATTACACGTAAAATGCCTCATATGTCTATCCTTCTCTAACTCATTCTTCCGTTTACGTTTGCGATTACGATTCCGGTTACGTTTCTCTTCTGCTCAGGCCTTTATTATATTCATAATTGTATATTGCTCATAAGCAATTAATTTATTTTATAATAATTAATATTATTAAAATATTCATAATATGGTATTTTTCCATTTTTGTAATATTCAGTTTGAACAATAATAATAAATAAGTTTCATGCTTCATGTAATAATTTTTAATTTTAGTGTTATTCAAAAATTGCGCCAACTTTCCTGCATGCAGGCAGGCAAGCAGTAGAGCTGTGACTGTACTGTTACGAGCCAAGTTGTATATTTAATTGCGCAAGCGCAATTTCACTTGGTTATTTTGTGGATTCAGCCTTAGTGTTAATCATTAAGATGAACCGGGAAAGTTTAAATAATTACACAATTAATTTCCGTTAAACGGAGGGAAAATCCTCTTGAAGACGAACAATAATAATTAGATAACGAATTAACCAATTATTAATTGTTCCGACTTCTAGATTAAAACCCAAGCTTTTATTAAATATAGAAAGAGACAAATACAAAGTTGACTTGGAGCGAACTCGACAAGTCGAAGGCAAGATAAGATCTGACGTAAAGCATAAAGTACAAGTAGTGGAGAAGCGCTCAGCTGTGAGTCCATGTGACTTCTTTGCGCATGCTCTTTATATTTTCTTATTCTATGCTGTTTCCAGCAACACTGCACTGCACAACACTACGTATCTTATTTACTATATACACTTTACTAATTATATATTTCAAGGTATATCTTATACATAATATTTATTATATTATAAATATTATAATTAACAATATAACATACTCATACGTATTAATGTAATAATTAATTATTATCTTGTTATTGTGTAAATAACACACACACACCACGATTATATATTTAATAATGTTTTATAGAGAAGATGATGATTTTTAATTTATATTTTTAATGTAAAAATCTAGTTGATATAAAATATTTCTTTACAAATATTTTATCCTTTGTTTGATCAATACGTGACTTTTCTCGATTTAGCGAGTCTACATGTGTGTCTGGTCAACATGTGTTTGGTGTCCTGTAGAGAAAGGACCACAACTTTTTCAAGTGGATTTTTTATGATCTTTAAGGGTTTTTATTTCATGGTTGGGATTAAAGGAAAGTTAGAATCATATTTCCTTTTGCTATTTTACTTAATTTATGACTTTTCTTAGAACTGTTTATATTCTTTGATTTGAGAATAAGACTTGAAAATACTTAAAGCGTGAAGATATTATTTTACAATTAAGTTAACTTTTTATAGTTTCCTCAATTGCTAAATTTATGTGAGAATAAATTCTAGAATACAAAATATTAATTATTTAATATTTTGAATATTTATTATTTAGCGCGTAAATATCGTTAATTCGAGATATCGAAAAGTTATTCGAGCGAGAATATAGTCGCTCGTTACAGTACCTTTACACATGTAAACTGCCTTTGCGCAACCATTTTTAAGGCTTCTTGTCAATTTCCGTTTCCGATCCTTTCTAAGCTCGCGTTCAATACGTGAGAATCACGTGTCAATAGTGTCTATTGATTTCAGTTTAAAATTAACTGTAATCTTTTTAAAATAGATAGTTTTTATATCTAAAACGTAAAAATGCCTCCTAAATTCGATCCCAATGAAGTTAAAAAAGGTAATTTACTTTATTTAATTCAAAATACTGAATTTTTCTTACACCTAACCTTAAATGCCGAAAGTGTTAATTTTTTGTAATTTTATTTAGGAACAAATGTTTTTTCTTTTATGATAATTATGTGAATTATTTATTTTAATAGTGTACTTGAGATGTGTTGGAGGTGAAGTTGGTGCAACTTCTTCCCTTGCTCCAAAAATCGGTCCACTTGGTTTGGTAAGTGAAAACAACTAACCTCACTTTATCACATGCTTGAAAATTTACTATTTAAAAGAAACATATTTTAATGTTTTTCACTTCATTTCACAATTCATAATTGAATTATAATTCTGTTATTAACTAAAATTCGTAAGAATTTTAATACGATTATTGTTGCAAAGCCATGTAATTTTATCTTGTTACAGAAGTTTTTTTATTTTTAAAAAACATTTTAAAAAGTTTAGTTGTTTTTAAATATATTTTTAATGTCATTAATATTGTTTTGATTAACTGAAATTTTATTCAATAAATAAATATTTGAGATCCAAAAATTTTGTTACACTTTTTCTTCTATAAAAAGGGTCAATCCATTATATTTCACCCAAAGTCGTTGCTGTCTTTTTTTTTAGAAAAATCCGATAATTCGTAAAAATGATATTTTATATCTGTAAAACTCATTTTTGTCAATTATTTAATCTTTTTTTTATTCATCTGTGAATTTAAAGTCGAGATGCACGAAAGTAGGGTTATTTTGACAGCTGTGAAAATTTAATAAAAAGGCACATAAGCAATTTGTACAATATAAATTTTTTCATTGGTAAACGATCAAAATAGTCTAATTAACTTATATTAATTGATTATTTTATAAATAAGGCAAAAATATATTAAATTTGATTCATAAAAATATTTGTGTAGTGTCAAAATAAAATAAAAAACTATTTTCGAATGAATGAATTAATTTAACCGTTTATTTAATCAGTTAAAAAATAGATGGTTTCACAAAAAGCAAATATTAGAAGTTAATGAAAATTCTTTGACACAATTTAATTTATATAAAAAATACTTAGTGATTTGTTTTTTATTCTACTGAACTTGTAATATTATTCATTTAATACTTTTTTTGTGACTATAGTAAAATAATAAAAATGTTTTGTTCCATCAAGAATTTGAAATGATTACAATTTTCATGAAATTGTCATGTTCACTTTAAAATTTATTTCGAAAATAATATCCAAATTAATTTTTTATGTATTTTAAATTATTTTTGTTTTTACAAACACTTATTTTCAAGGTAACTTTTAAATAAATTGATAATAATAATAATTTTCTTTCACAATATGTATAAAATCGTTAAAGTTGTACCAAAAACATTAAAAATAATGTGACCTTGACAGTGAAAGAGAGCTTACTTGCAAAAAAATCGATTTTTTATTGATTGGTGATTCTGATAGAGAAAACTTTTTTATATCAGAATCACCAATCAATAAAAAATTAATTTTTTCGCTCGTAAGCTCCCTTTTCACTGTCGAGGTCACATATATGAAAATGAACTGTCATTAAATTTTTTTTAAAAATTATAATTTTAAACATAATTTTACATCTATGAATTACTTTCTCATTCAGTAATTTTTTTTCAATGGCAATGCAGAACAATACAATACAGAAATACTTTAAAGTAAACAGAAGCTTGAGCAATTTTCTTTAAATATCTGTTTTAGAGAACTCAAGCTAAACATTTTATTTAAGAAAGACAAGTTATTAAAGAGTTAATAAAATTAATTTAATATTTTATAGTAGGGTCAGCCGGGGTAAATCCGAACGGGGGGTAAATCCGAACGCTAATTATTTCAGCTTAATTAAAATTTTTAAAAATAAGTTCGATATGAGAATTTTTACCTCAGATCCTCTTCAAGAGATTCTAAGTATTATCCCATTTTTCGTTTGTTAATTAGCAACAGCATAAACAAAGATAACGAGTATTGCAAAAAAGATTGAAAATCAAAGATGACACTCTTTCAGTATTTTGTCTCGTATTTCAAGAAAAAGAAGCTAAAAATTTATTTTATTATTTATAATTGTTTGTTATGAATACTAGAACAGAAACTATTTTTGATTTTTGCCTTCTATAAAATTTTATTAATAATATCAGACCGTTCGTATTTACCCAGGAAAATTGGAAAACCGGGGTAAATCCGAACGGTATTTTCAATAATTTTTTTTTACATAAGAGCCACACAAAATTGTTTTTATTTCATTACAATATTATTTTAACATTATAAAAGTACATAGAAAAAAGTTTTTCTTTCTATACGTATCCTCGTTAGTAATTAATAAGCAGAAACTTAATCTCTGTTCTCTCGAAGGAGTGTTCAATTTTTTTGCCAAATGGTTTGTTGAAAAAAGTTTTTCAGGATCTTAATAAAATTTGGTATTCTACGGTTTTTGGGGTCGCTAATTACCAATTTGAAGTCAGTTTTTCAAAATTCAAAATGGCGGACGAGAATTAAAAAATTCATTGGATTCGCTCGAAAATTGTTACTCGGGGGGTTTCAGGGTTAGCAAATTTGGTCATTTTTAAAAATAAGTTTTAGGAAAGTCCGCCATTTAGAATTTAAAAAATTTGACTTTTATTTTTGTATTTACATTCAATCACTCCAAAATACTTTCTGTACCAAGTTTTGCAAAAATCCGTTATGATTTGATAAAGTTATTGAAGGTTTTAATTGTGTAATGCATTTTAATTTTTAACCTGTTTGATTTTTGTATTTTTATATGATGCATTATTACATAATAGGTTTATTATCGTATTTTTTTTGAGTTTTTATATAAGTTTAACAATTGCAATACTTTAAATTGATTTTCCCTAAGATTTTTCTGAAATACAGTGGCGTTCGTATTTACCCCGGTATTTTAGGAAAGTTGCAAAGTATCGAGGTAAATACGAACGCTAAGTTTCCTGCGATTGTAATTTATCAAAAATTTTTGCTACCCCATAAAATTGTTCTATGGAAGTAAAGTAACAACTTCATGCACTAGAATACCGGAAGTATTTTTTTTTTAAAGAAACATCTTATGTTATTGTTGAAACTTACTAAAAGCGTTCGGATTTACCCCGGTTGACCCTAATAAATAATGAATATTCAATAACAATAATAATAAAATGTTTTACTAATTAATGGTTTTTATTGAGCAAATAAAAATATTCAATTCTATTCTGTATACTATACTAACTAAATTTATTAATATTTAAAATATTGACTTTTTGTGACTTAATGAATAAAATTTCGTGGCATATGAATAAGTTCTAAAAATAAATTGTTAGAATTTTCATTTAATAGAATTTCATTAAATATAACTTTCATTAAGCCTAATTTTATTTGCACCAATTATTATTTTGCACAATTTTTATTAGGGGAAGGTGGGCTAATGGGAGCTTTTAAATTACAAGTACACAGAGACTTTGAATTTTGTGGAAATAACTCGGAAAACTTGAACAATCTATGTCATACGAAGACAAACGGTCACATTTCTGACAGTTTTGTAGAAATTACAAGGAAAAATCAAGTTTTCGAGTTTTTCTTCTTCAATGGAAAATATTTCTGGAGATCATATTAAGGGGGGAAACTCGTATAAATGCACGTTTTTAAGGAATTTAAAAAAAAACTGGTAAAGTTTATTGAATTAAAGTAAAGCATACCTTAAAGTACACAATATAAGCTTTATAAAAAAATTTTTTTATTAAAAAATATTACAAAATGGTGGCGTTACAGGCGTTTGAAGTTGCATCTTTGATTTTGCGCCGTGCTGCCTACAGGTCACAAATCTTAACTAAAATTAAAAATCAAAATTTTTACCGTTAAAATACGCAAATTCGCTATACATAACGACGAGAAAACTAAAAAAAAATTTTTTTTGAAAATTTGGGAACATTTTGAAAAAAAATTTACTTTTTTTTATAAACAATCTTCAAAAACAATTGTTAAAAAAAATTTTTTTTAAATGGAGCTCGTCATGCAATAGCCAGTAAGATAAAGAAGATTTATGTTAAGTTTGATTAAAATCGGTTAAAAATTGGCTGAGTTACATTGCACGGCGCGCGAAAAAACACGTTTCGAGAAAAACGCGTTTAAAGTTTTCGATACATAAAAGTAGTGTTTCAACTATTGCCTTGAAGACTTTATGCTTTCGAAAATAACTATTGCACTAAAACCACAATTTACTATCACTTGCTTATGGTGCTTGCTAATGACAATTAATAAAATTATATTGCCAAGAAACCGAAAGAATAGAGAGATCTCGTGCTCGTCGTTAACTGAATTTGGTAGCATCTGAAGTGCTAAACTTATGTTTACTATAGACATTCATACATCTAATTATAGATTAGTAATGTAGGATCATATTCTACATATAGTAAACTAATTTTTGAAGCAAAAAAAAATTGTAAATAATTTTTTTTACACGAGTTTCCCCCCTTAAATAGTTAAAAATTTATTATTTAATTATGTTTTGTGATTTTATTAGAGAAAAATATGTACGACAAAGAGGAATATTGTTGAATTATATTTAATTGAATATTATATTAATTTCAGTCGCCGAAAAAAGTTGGTGACGATATCGCTAAAGCGACCAGCGATTGGAAGGGATTGAAGATTACTGTTCAATTGACAATTCAAAACAGACAGGCATCAATCTCAGTTGTACCATCGGCTGCATCTTTGATTATTAAAGCCCTGAAAGAACCACCAAGGGATCGAAAGAAGGTTAAAATTCAAAAACACGGTGGCAATTTGTCCTTTGATGATGTTATTAACATTGCCAGAGCCATGAGGACACGATCAATGGCACGTGAACTTTGTGGAACAGTTAAGGAAATTTTAGGAACGTGTCAATCAGTCGGTTGCACAATTGAAGGCAGACCACCACATGATTTCATTGATGACATCAAAAATGGCGAGGTCGAAGTTCCAGAAGAATAAAAAAAAATTATTGTATAAACCAATTTTAATTTAAACTGAAGAATAACATCTTTTCCACATATATATACTTTTATGTATATTCGACACAACATCTCATTTTTCAAATATATTTTTTGGAAACCAATTTTTTTGGTATTTTTAATGATCATACGCGTAATTAATGTTTAATTTTTCTTTACCTCGCTCAAGTAATAATTTTGTTGCTCGTAACTAACCTCCATGAAGTTGGCGTCGATGCTCAGTGCCGAAAATTGTTTTTCACAGGACCAAGAATGTCACATTATTATTATTATTATTATTTTAAGATTTTTGGTCCAAATAATGCCTTGAGAAATACTTTTTAAGTTATTATGTGGACCTAAAACGTTTGTAAAAATGATTTGATATTTTTGGTCCTGTGAAAAATAATTTTCGACGCCAAATTCATGGAGATCGTAACTAACACAAGATTACAAAATTAAAAAAATTTCTAACCTGCGGCATTTCACTGTCATTTCTTAATTAAAATTTTCTCCTGAATCCATGAATAGTCAGATATTAAGAAAGTAAAAGTTTTCGAGATTTAGCTAACTTTCAATGTTTTGAGTTTTGAAAGAAAGTGGGTTCACTAATCTGCAATTATCTCCGAATGTAGTTGACCGATTTCAATTTTCTTTAAAACCAATTAAAGGTAATTAAATTTATTTTTATAAAAAGTATTTATTACATTCTTCAATCAGCACTTAAGTAAATATAAAAAGTGGTTCAAACTCAATATGCACTGTCTTTTGTGGTCATTATCTGCACAGAGAGAAATTTCTCCCTAATTTTGTATGAAAACTACTTTCTCATTTAGTAAAACAACTATTGCGACTTTAATAGCATAAAATTTATACCAATACCACTCTTGGACATACTAAAATAGTTTGTGTTGTTCCCGAGAGATAAAGTGTCGTTGATTCTTCTATATTCGTATAAATGTCATGTGAACATAGTTCTTCATCCTGCCATGCGAATTTCGTTCAAGGCACATACTAATATAGCGTTAAACGTCGAGCGATTATTTGACAACTAATTGGAATAATCGCTCGATGTTGACGCTATATTGGTATTTGCCTTGAACGAAGCTCGCTCGGCAGAGCGGGAAACTACGTTCACTTGTCATTCGTGCAATATAGAAATAAAATTGCTACTAATAACGTTAATACCAATGATATTTTAACGCATGGGGATTTTTGGAACTATTTTAGTATAACTTTAAGCGATTTTGTGAAGAAAACGTCTCAAATTACGAAAAAAATATCGATGATTTCTTCATAAACTATAAGAAAATCGGTATAATTTTCTAATATATATTTTTTAAGGATGTTTGTGTATATCTGTTTTTTATTAGAAAAAGTCGTGCAAATGCTACAAGTGCCAGTGGGCGGGAATCACGAAAAAGTTGCCAAAAATCGAAATCAAAAGGAGTTCCTATAAAACCAGGGTGTGCAGCGGACCTTGAAATCTTTTAAAAGTCCTTGAATTTTTTTTGAACCTTGCAAAAACCTTAAAATTCCTTGAATTTTATATAGTCCAGTCAAATTAGTCGAAAAACAAGGCATATCATGTTTTCACTCAGGACCTCAATTTTTTTGCTTAAACCCTTCATTTTGGTGTAAAAATAAAGTACCTAAATTTGGTACTTCGAACACCTACCGGAAACTAAAATTTTTTAAGAAACAGGTGTAAAAAATCAGTTTTTTGCAAATTGCCGCCTTCCATGACATTTTAGCATAAAAATAATTATTATAAAAAAGAAAGTATAAAATTCTGAGTAATTTGATAAAAAAATTAACTCTGTAGCTTAAAAATTGACCGGGGTATAACTTCCGCAAAAAATCCATTTTTTTTGAGATTTTTCCCAAAATCAGGTATTTTTCAGTTTTTCCAATATAGCTTTGAAAAAAAATGATTTTTTGAAAAAATGACCCACAGAAAAGTTAAAGCTGACAAAATGCCTGACAATTTGCAAAAAAGAACAATGTAATAGCTCTAATAGTTTCTGAGATACAGTCTCTCAAAGTTGACCCTTTTGAGATTTTACTTACAATGGTAATAAAATGAGATTCTATATGTAAAACCTCAAACGGGTCAACTTTGAGAGTCTGTATCTCAGAAACTATTAGAGCTATTACATTGTTCTTTTTTTGCAAATTGTCAGGAATTTTGTCAGCTTTAACTTTTCTGTGGGTCATTTTTTCAAAAATTCATTTTTTTCAAAGCTATATTGAAAGAACTGAAAAATACCTGATTTTGGAAAAAATCTCGAAAAAATGGATTTTTTGCGGAAGCTATACCCCGGTCAATTTTTGAGCTACAGAGTTAATTTTTTTATCAAATTACTCAGAATTTTATACTTTCTTTTTTATAATAACTATTTTTATGGTAAAATGTCATTGAAGGCTGCAATTTGCAAAAAACTGATTTTTTGCACCTATTTTTTAAAAAAATTTTAGGTACATTATTTTTACACCAAAATGAAGGGTTTAAGCAAAAAAATTGAGGTCCTGAGTTAAAACATTTAGAAATGCTAACTTGACTAGACTAAAGGCGCTTGTATACCTCACCGATCCCGAGTATACTTCTGTCGTGTACCATTGGAGTAAAAGAGACAAAAGATATTTCCATCTCTTTTACTCCAATGGTACACGACGCAAGTATACTCGGGATCGGTGAGGTATACAAGCGCCTTAATAATCTATTTTGTTGTTACAAAAAAATTTTCATTCATTAAAAAATTTTTTTTTTAAATTCCTAACATTTATTTATTTTTACAGACGGAACAAAGATATCGATTTTTTAACATAAATACTAATTTTTCATAACTAGAAAATTTTGTCGATTTTGTTCATTTCCTTTTTTTAATACTGTTTATCGTCTTAAATCTTTTTATGTTTTATTTTTATTCAATCATTAACGGAATATTCATACATCTAAGTATTCTTAAATTTAAGTTATTTAGGTTACTTGAAATCCTGCGCTAATTATGCGCAAATACTGCGTTTGGGCAGTTCCGGAGCTACAAAATATTTGCCATTTACTTTTTTTTATTTCTAATGGTAAAAAAATAAGTTTTCAATAGTTTTTGAAAGGGCCGACAGAACCGGGCGCAAATTAGGCAACTTAAAAGACTGATATTTATCTAAAACGAGTTCCGGAGCTACAAAAATTTTTCTACTTAGATATATCTAAGTAGCGCCTCGTTATGTCGGCTCTTTTAAAAACTACTGGAAACTTAATTTTTTACCATTTGAAATAACATATCTGAGTAGCAAAAATTTTTGTAGTTCCGGAACTTGTTTTAGGTAAAAAATCATTCGTGTAATTCGTCTATCTAGCGCCCGGTTATGTTGGCCCTTTCGAAAACCATTGAAAACTTAATTTTTTGCCATTTCAAATAACATACGTAAGTGGCAAATATTTTGTAGCTCCGGAACTGCCCAAACGCAGTATTTGCACATAATTAGCGCAGGATTTCAAGTAACCATAATAACATTAATAAAAATTCTCTTTTTATTCTGAAATTTCTTAAAATCTCGATTTTCCCTTTTTCTTTAAATGTTTCCTTAAATTTAATTTCTCTTCATTTTTTTTATAAAATTCTCATGTTTTTTATTCTTCAAATTCTCTTGATTGGAATTCCTAAAATTATTTTTTTTTCAATTTCGTCGATTTTTTATTTTCTTAAATTTTTGAATTTGTTTTCATTTTTCTAAAATTCTCGTTGTTTGAAACATTTTTTCACCATTTTTATTCTTATTTTTTGAAAATCCTAAAATTTATTTAGTAGGGAAGCTAAAAGTTGGTTTTGTATAAATTTTATATATCGTGGAATATATAGAATATTTGATAACAATAATTAATGATTTAATCGATAAATTATATTATTTACATGATATATAAGATTGTCACAACTTTTTTTCCAGTAACAATAATAAAATTTTTAATTTTTGGCACATTTGAACGATTATCTTGAAGGTGATGATCTAGGTATTTCAGAAATATATGTAAGTAAAGATAAAAATTCTTTTTCAATGCAGGATAAAATGATCCTTTTAGGTAGGGGAGAAATGGGAGTTATGCAACACGTTAATATTTTATAATAGCAATTAATGTGACAAATTTCAACTTTTGTAAAATTCTTTTCTCGTTAAGAACTAACGTTTTAAGTACGAAGCTGAAGTACGCAACTTTTATGATAAACGATTTTTAAAGAAATAATTTTTTAACATGAAAAATTCAATAATTTTTTGCCTAAAAAATATTTTTTATAATTTCTTGATTAATGAAAACTGCAAGAAATATTTTTTAGGCTATTAATTATAGAATTTTTCATTTTTAAAATCGTTTATCATAAACGTTGCGTACTTCAGCTTCATTTTTAAGTGGTACCCGTCATCTTTGCAAGCATTTTTCATGTCTTTCCAGATAGTGAGTTAAAATTTTTTCTAAGTCTTTTTGACTGTTTCTTTTCTACTAATTTTTTCAAGGTGATCACAATGTTTAGTGCATAAAAATAATCATTAATTAATAACTTTTCGGCCTACAAAAAAAAATTTCGCATAAAATTTTCGATGTGTCAATAATTCTATGATTATTTTGGAAATGTAGAAAATGGGGAGTTATGCATCAGTGTTGGTGGGGAGTTGTGCATCTCATTATATTTAACAGTTTTCATCCTAGTACACGGTGGTCTAGAAGCAGTCACAGGTATGACAAAAATGGGTATAAAAAGTACAAAGTGGGTTTTGTTCGTGACTATTTCTAGTTTAAAAATTCGTTCAGACCAAAATCCTAGAGTCCCCTATTCTCAAGATATCGTCATTTCCGTTTTTTCAATCTTCTTGCTCTAGGATTTTGGTCTGAACGAATTTTTAAACTAGAAATAGTCACGAACAAAACCCACTTTGTACTTTTTATACCCATTTTGATTTTTGTCATACCTGTGACACACTCTTTTTATTTCTCATTATTCATGAATAATTCAAATGTTTTATGGAATTTAAATATTGTCCTTTAGTGAGATGAGACTTTTTACATCTGTATTTACTGCAAATGAAATAAATTACATAGTTTAATTCAATTATTTTTAAAATAATTTAATTATATCTAAATTATCACATTTTATAATTTAAATAAAGAATATTCTAAAAAATATGTTTTTTTCATCAATTTAGAACGGTGTAGCAAAACTCCCCACGTTTTTTGAAAAGTAGTAAAACTAGTATTTTCGAAAAACAAGCAAAATTTCTATATGTGTTTTGAATTTTAATTAATTGATATTTCTAATAATATGTATCACTATCAGTAAAATCTAATATGGTTTATTGAATAAACATATATATGGAAGCTTTATGCACAAAGAAGAAAAAAAGATAATAATATTATGTACCAAAAAATCAAACTTTTTGAAAATGATTTTTCAACCATTGCCTGACAGAATTGACGCATCTCATAAAAATCTTTTAATTCGACGCTTTGTGGACAACTGGTTGTACTTATCAGTTGAAAAAGGCTTTGAAAATAAAGTGGAGTCAAAAAGTCAAATGCATCAAAAAAACCGACTGTTACTTCTTACCTACCCTTGTTATAACCAACCCTGTGTTCATTTAAAAAATTTTAATTGTTTTTATAACGATTATCAAAAGTTTTTTGTTCTAAATGAAGTTAGCTTTCATTTTTTTCAAGTAAAAGATAAAACCATATTATGACAGCATTTTTCCAAATAAGATTCTCTAGAAATTAAAAATGTGATTTTTAACAAAATTTTATAAAAAAGAGTTATTTTCAGAAAATTATAACATCTTATGAAAGGTAGAAAGCTATTTTTAAGTTTATATTTATTGAAAATTAAGTCTACTTTAAATTGAGGAGTAAGCGGCCAAAAGTTGATACCTAAGTATATTTTAATAAAGAACTGTAAAATTGTTAATATAGAATTACATTAATTTAAAAATATTTGAACTTAACCAAAAAGATTTAAAATTTTAGTTTTTTTTACTAGAAAATTACCCAAATCTTTAAAACTCATTATTTATTATCCATTTTAATTAATAATAAGTGCCCTATCACATATCTATGGAGTGAAAACCACCCCCAAAAATCGTTTTTTGCCATTCTTACGTAAATGTGTAGGAATTTTCTCCTTTACATAAAAATTGCAAAAAACGATTTTTGGTGGTGGTTTTCACCCCTTAGATGTGCGATAGGGCACTTATAAAAATATACGTGTCGAATATTTTTCAAAGAACTACAACATATCACAAGAGGAGCGAAATCGGTTACATAGAAAATTAAAAGGCATTAAAATAAGCTGCAACGCTTATTATTTTAATCCAATTCTGCTTATTTTAATCCATTTTGGTATTAAAATAAGCAAAATTGGATTAAAATAATAAGCGTTGCAGCTTATTTTAATACCTTATAATTTTCTGTGTAGGTACACCTGGGTAGTGTTCCTTGTTAGATGCACAATTCGAAAAAATTAAAATTTTTATTGTTTCCGAACAAATTTTTTGTTAAAATTTATACTTAGAGGTTTAGATATATAATGGACGAAAGGAATTCTGTAAATACTTTACTGAATACTTAATTATATTTTCAATTAAATGCAAAAATGAAAATTATGTATTAGTGATGGAGTTTTGAAGAAAAGTAGGGCAGAAATTTTACACTTTTCTAAATTATTCCTCATTTGAAACATTTAAATTACACATTAACATATAAAATATAGAGAATTTATTAAGACTAAAAATAATATTCATTTCATACATTTATAATTATTTTATACACACATAATATAATACATTTAATACTTTAAAATCGTTAGCTGTTATGATCGAATTTAAGAATATTGTTCCACTGTATTTCGTTAAATTCCACATCTTTTGATGGAGAATGTTGATAAATAATCTGTAAAAAATTAACAATTATTTAATTTCTTCAAGATGTTAAAAATAATCGTCCGAAGAACAAGAAAAATTTATTTATAAATAACATAGTTTAAATAAAATTCCCCAGGAAGTTTCTTTTTCTAAAATATAATCGTTTTTTTCATCTGAACCCTCAATTTCAAATTCCCGAAATGCAATTTGACAGAACTTTGTTTTACTCTAATTGTCATTTGTTAGAATTATCAAATTATCGAATTTTTATTTGACCGCAATTGAAAATTTCCGAACAAACATCCCCATTATCATTAAGCGCAAATTTCTAATACAACTAACTAAATTTTTTTATAATTATAAAAACAAACTATGAATAGAATTGTTTGATAATTTTTTTTATTGATTTTAAGTTTAAGGGGGAGTGACATATTTGAGGTGTGAGGTTTTGAGGAATTTATTTGTTAACTTTTTAAGTTTACGAAAATAATTACTTAAAAAAAGTTTCAATTTGTTGCCTATACAGGCCGCAAATGTTAGTCTCGTTTCTCTGCAGGGCAAATCGGTGGGCAAGATTCCGGTTAGACCGTTTAATTTTGAACAAAAATTCAAAGTTTTTTTGAATTTGTAATAGATTTAGCTATAGAGTACGTAGGATATTTTAAAAATAGTAATTTTTGTGGATTTGGCAGCTATTAAAAGAAAAAGTCGATTTTTATAGCGAAATATTTTCAAAAAATATAGGTACAAACAACCAAAAAAAATCCGCGACGTACTCTAAAGCATTAGTAAATAACGATCAAAAAAAACTTTGGCCGAAGTCAATCCTATCAAAATTGTTCGAGCTAGACTGCCCACCGTTTTGAAGAATGTCATTTCGAGAAAAACGCGTTTTTAAAAAATTATCGAAAACTAGAGATTTACAAAAGTTAACAATAAAATAAAGTTCTTACGGATTAATCTGCAATTCCAACACCACATTGTAATGAAAAAAAATCGATTTTTTCAACCCCCTAATGTGGTTTCCCCCCTTAAAATGCAGATTATTAAAATTATGGTATGCGTTTGAACGATTGAGATACAAAAGTTCCAAAAAATAAGTTCTAACCCAAAAGTTCCAAGATTGGTAAGCTCCAAATGTATATTTTTTCTAATGAAATAAAAGTTATAAAAAGTTTCAAAATGTTCAAAAATGTAAATTGTGACCAATTGCTTTTATGTAGTTACGATCAAATGGATTTTCAGTAAATTTGAATTTCTATCATTTAAAAAAATCATCCAAGTATAAATATTGTTAAATAAGAGTTAAATTAAAAAAAACTGATGGGTACACAGAAAAAACCTGAACTCAAAATGAATAGTATACGCTACACGGAAAAACTTTGTACAATAATCGTTCCTAAATTTGTTCAGGAACTGAGGATATGAGAATAATTTAAGAAATCTTATTTATATTTTCTTTGAAAAATTCTAAGCAGTATTTCTATGAGAATTGTAGAGAAATTCAAGACAACTTCCTAAACTCACTACAGAAAGTCTTGAACTTGTTTTAGAATAAATTTTTACGTTTGCGAGAAAAAAAATTTACTCTGGGAGGACTCGATCCCACGTCCTCGAGAGTCCAAAAACTCCACTTTACATCTCTCAGCTACCTTAGCAGCTTATGGTATTATGCATTGGAAACATATTTGACGCAACCAATCCCTGCCTAGTGCTTGGTTACTGTACTGTGTCTTCTAAAACAGTTCAAGAAACTTTCAACGCCCAGTGACTGAGATATTCCGATCGCGGCATTAACAAGAAGTCTTCCAATGTCATAATAAAAATACAAGTATTTTCTTCAATGATTTTTGTATTTTTCTGTAAATTTTGCAGAATTTTTCTCATATCCTCAGTTCCTGAACAAATTTAGGAATGATTCTTGAAAAAAGTTTTTCCGTGTACTCATTTTGTTGTGCAACAAAAATGAGTCAGGTTGGTGGCGCCACTGTCTATGTCGTTTAGCATTGACTCATTTTGAACTGCAGCAAAAATGAGACTGGGTTTTTTTGTGTATGAAAACTCGGTTCTGCTAAATAGAAATTTGAAGCCATAAAAATTCTTATAACTTCCGTGTGGGTAAATTCTACTCTAAACACATATCACCGTCAAGCAAGGTAAATTCGGACAATTATACTAACTTCGGACACTTGGAATTATTTGAAAATACTGTACTTAGTAACGTTAATTATTCTAGAAAATATTCATTATTCACATTTTTTGATAATGAACGTAAAATAAGTTATGAAATTAAAAGCATATAATTTTAAGTGTTCGAAATTAGTGAAGTTACCCTATTTGTCTGTATATCTAAACGCAGTAATTTTTTGCTGAATAAATAAAACGAAGTGTAATTACCCATTTGTTCATCTCTGCCTTTACGGTTTTCCAAAGTTTGAATTGCAAAATTAAATTTTTGCTTACAGACATATACGATGAGAAGTATTAAATAATTTATATTTATCAAATGACTAATTGTAAGATTTAAGATGGAATCAACTTAGACATGACTGTAAATAAGAGTCTACCTTTTTTTTAAGACGACTTGTTTGTTGACGAAGAATTTTGTTTTCCCTCTTCAAAGAATCTAATTTTTCAGTTAGTTTGGCAATAGTTATCGCCATAGACTGGAAAGTATTAGTATAATGCCGATCATGACAAATATAATCTTCCTCGTGCATCTTCTTTGATGTGCTTAACACTAATGCTTTCTGTCGTTTAACTGTAACAATGGAAAATGTCACATCTTTTTTAAATATTAAAATTTCATTTATCATAAATTCTTGCTTAAATTCTTCATTTATTCTAAAAACGAAATTTTTCACTTCAAACAAAATCCTGCAAGTAGCAAATTTTTAACGTTTTAAAAAAAACATTCAGATGGCTTTGAGAGAGTAGTCAGAAAGTAGCTGAATTTTATATAAATTAAGAGAAAACGTTTAGGTGATGAAAACTTAAAGAGGCGTTACGGATGATTCAAGAAGCAGCGGAAAAATGACACGTGTATCAAGAGTTAATTCTAACCTTCTTTTTCATCTTTATTTATCTTGTAAAAATTTTATTTATTAGATTAATATATTTAAATATAGAGGGTTAGAAAAAGAAATGATTTACGTCAGACGCGATATTTTCAGTCTGTTTAGAAGTATACAATTGCTTTAGAAAATATATAACCTGCAGTGATATTAAATACTTCTTTCTTACATTTGGGGTAAATGCAAACAGAATTTTTTATGGACTTGAACATATTTTTAAATCTTCATGAAAAATAAGAAAATTTGTATTTATTGATTTGATAAAAATTATGGAAGATCTGATTTTTTAAAGTTTAACGTTTAACATCTAAAAAATTGAAATTAAGTCTAAAAGGTGACTTTTCTCAAAACCGAAGTGATTGATTTTTGAGACTTTTGCTTCCTCGTAGATGAAGCTTTGTAGTCCTTTCGTTTATAAAAATTTTCAAAGTGTCGGAAACAAATTTTTCTCTATATAGAAACATGTTATATGAGATCCTGATCAATTGTCCGGATATATGAATCTGTGTGTATGTGTGTGTGTGTGGATCCCTTTTTTGTTTAGAAGATAACTTGGACAGGTTTTAATGGATTTAGATAAAATTTGGTAGGCTCATTTATTATATTAATATCTCAAATCTGACCAAAGAATTTTAAAAAATACCCCAAAAAAAAAATTTATCGTCTTTTTTCCAAAAATTTTTTTTAAATCGAAAAAATTTTTAAACAGAAAAATTTAAGGATATATATAATAAAATCGTATTTCTTACGTCAAGACAAATCGATCGATATATATAAAGTATAGTTTTAATTTAAATTTAAAGAATTAATGAAAGTTAAAAAATCAAAAATTCACATTTTGGCTATAAAATTTTGTGATTTTTTAAATTTAAGTTTATAAATGAAATAATTGTATTCCTTACATGAAAACGAATCGATTGGTATATATAAAATTTACATTTGAGGTAAGTTTAATAAATTAATGAAATTTAAAAATAGAAAATACACATTTTAGCTGAAAAATTTTGTATTTATTTAAATTCAAGTTTAAATATAAAATAATTGTGTTCCTTGCATTAAAACGAATCGATATAATTGTAAATAATTATAAATTATATATTATTTTTTATTAATTTTTAGAAATTTCAGCTAAAATGTGAATTTTTGATTTTTTAACTTCCATTAATTCTTTAAATTTAACTCAAATGTTTATATTATTATATTATTTTTGTATGCTTATTTCAATGTTTATGCTTTCTCCACGAGGAAGCAAAATGTTCATTTTTTCCCTATTATGCGAAAGTGGTGTTTTTTGCAATTATAATACTATTTACAGTTTCTTAGAACTACTTACAGTTCTCATACTACTCAGTAGAAACCCATTTATCCGGAGTAATGGATGCTGGCAGTTGTCCGGATAATTGAAATTACAAAGCACACAAATTTTCTTTATATAATCTTTGGCAAGTAATTATTTACAAACATGAAAAAAAAGAAATTCTTAGATACCATATAAATAAATACATATATATATTTAGTAAAAATTATTTTAGAAAAGTTTTCATAAATATTTTTTAAAAAATTTTAAATAAAAATGTAACGGTTCGTATGAAAATATAAAATTCACATATTAGAACACTTAGTTTAATTTTGTTGAAAATAGTTAGTAATTTTCATTTAACGTAAACAATTTCTTCTCTTCATAGCAGCTATGTCTTTAATTTCTTTCAACTGTAGTAAACTTATGTTATCGCACTCTGTTTGTTTATCAAACTATTTTAAAGCTGTTTCAAAGGCTTGAAATTTATAATAAACTTTGCATACATTAAAATGCTTATAATAATCATTGAGTGTCGAGAAACCCCAAATATATAAGATTAAGATACAGTATATTAGTAATTGTGTCAATAGAAGATAAGTTGTATTACTCCCTGCATTTTTAAGCTACACGGAAAAACTTTTTTCAAGAATCATTCCTAAATTTGTTCAGGAACTGAGGATATGAGAAAAATTCTGCAAAATTTACAGAAAAATACAAAAATCATTGAAGAAAATACTTGTATTTTTATTATGACATTGGAAGACTTCTTGTTAATGCCGCGATCGGAATATCTCAGTCACTGGGCGTTGAAAGTTTCTTGAACTGTTTTAGAAGACACAGTACAGTAACCAAGCACTAGGCAGGGATTGGTTGCGTCAAATATGTTTCCAATGCATAATACCATAAGCTGCTAAGGTAGCTGAGAGATGTAAAGTGGAGTTTTTGGACTCTCGAGGACGTGGGATCGAGTCCTCCCAGAGTAAATTTTTTTTCTCGCAAACGTAAAAATTTATTCTAAAACAAGTTCAAGACTTTCTGTAGTGAGTTTAGGAAGTTGTCTTGAATTTCTCTACAATTCTCATAGAAATACTGCTTAGAATTTTTCAAAGAAAATATAAATAAGATTTCTTAAATTATTCTCATATCCTCAGTTCCTGAACAAATTTAGGAATGATTCTTGCACAAAGTTTTTCCGTGTATATCTAAACCTTAGTGCGCCTACGCATTGCATTTTTGACTAAATGAACTTGTAAACATTTTTATCTCCAAAACGCTCTTTCCGGGCTACCGACTTAAATACACCGAATGCGTTACTTTTAAGTTAGTCCTAATCTAAACTCTAAAACTGTAAGAACTAGAATAAAGAATTATTCTATATTAATATTGTATATTTCTTGCTAGTCCCTTAAGGCCAAGTGTTTCCCCAATAAAATAAATTAATTAATATAAAGTGCAAAACGACACGACAGAGGAAAAAAAACGAAATAAAAATTTGTCCAGATAATCCAAAATCTGGTTGATCGAGGTCCGGAAAAACGGGTTTCTACTGTAGTTTAAAAACTAAATAGTATTTCAACTACAAAAAACACCACTTTCGCATTTAAAATAATTTAAAACATACGTGTTTCATTATGGCAGATTATGTTTAAACTTGGCTCAGGAACTTTTTCTAAACAGACAGATGAATCAAGAACTTTTTCATCAACGTCTTGTAAAATATGATTTAATTGATCAATCGCTTCTCTGGAAATATCTGAAAATTCCGTATCAGTATTTTCTATTTATTTTCTAAAAATAATTCATTGTTTATAAGCTTATTTATGAAATATTATAAAACAAGAAATCATCATTGTACTTATACATATTTAGTAAGTTGGAAAATTATATCTTCAAATAAATTATAATATTTTGTTGTTACATAAGATATTTTTCAAATTCAAGTTATCTCAAAGTATTCGAGTTTCTAAGCTTAATATGACATTCTATTTATAAAAATAATAATTTATTTATTTATATAATAATAAATAATTTGAGAATAAACGAGAATCAAAATATTTTTAAATAAAGTTGTAATACCTGTAAAATTTTGTTTTACTTCTTCAGTCAAAGCTAAAGGTGTACTTCCTGGTTTTAACATGTTTCTGCTTCCATTACAATTAATCGTAAAGTTTTCTGGATTGAAATGATTCGAGCACAAGTGACTATTTTTCGTCAACTGTTTTTTCTCCAAGCCTAATATATTTAACCATTTTTTGCACAAATTTTCATCCCGTGGAAATCTAAAAATTGAATTATTATGTTAATAAAAAGTTACAAATAGTTTATAACTTTTAAAATTCATATAAAGCATTTTATGAGAATAAGTAAATAATATATTGATGAAAATGATATTGCGATAACCATTATGACATGATCAATGAATAATCTAGAATTAAAATTGATGACCTTAAACTGAGTAACATCTCACACAGCACAATAATTTGGAGTAAGCTTTCCTTGAGTTTAAACCTAAGATTCGTTAGCTTACAGCATAAACTTCAGGTGAGATTTAGGTGAGTTACAAATGTCCGCTCTATCGTAAGCTACAGTGTAAGATTGTAGTCAGCTTAGGCTGCAGTCCCATGGTAGCGTTTTGCGTTGCGTTTTGTCACTAGACCATGAGTGTAAAAGAGATGCAGATATATGTTTGCTATGTTTACACTCAGGGTCTAGTGACAAAACGCAACGCAAAACGCTGCCATGGGACTGCAGCCTTACAGTTAGGCTTACTATAACCTTACTGTATACTTCCCGTAAACTTACTGTAAACTTCCATGTAAGATTACTGTAAGCCTCATGTAAACTTCCTTTAAGCTTACACTACTGTTAATTAATATTACTAAATAATATTTATTAATATTTATTTCAACTATTTTTTCACACCAGATGATAATATATATTGTGAAGTAGGATATACAACCCTAACGGGAATAATTGATTAAAATATACTGCGCAGCCGTAAAAGCTATAATAAACTACTGCGCATGAATAATTGTTTAATTTATTTATTAACATTTATCAATAATAATGTAAGTTTACATGAAGCTTACAGAAAGTTTACGGGAAGCTTATAGTAAGATTATAGTAAGCTTAACTGTAAACTGACTACAATCTTACACTGCATCTCACAATAGATAGGACATGTGCAGCTCACCTTAACCTCACCTGAAGTTTACGCTGTTAGCTAACGAATCTTAGGTTTAATCTCAACGGAAGCTTACAGCAAAATATTGTGCTGTGTATAAGATTTCGCTGTAAAAGCGGAAATCTAATTAAATCTGCTGAAAATTAAAGAATAAAATTTAAGAATTTTTAGGTCCGTTAACCTGGCTTGTCCACATTGTCCGATCTGGATGAAACCTATTGGAAAATTAAGGGCTAATTTAATGGTAATTCAATGCCCTAATGACGAATTTAATGCTCAGCATTTTCTTCGAAAAACTTGTGGACAAGCTATCTTAACATTAAGGTGGCTTGTCCACACAATGAAGGAGTACTCGTAGAAAGGTCTACACTTAGGGCTTTTTCAATGCTCTTTAATGCTTTATTGACAAATTTAATGCCGGCATAATTTCGCGAAATAACTGAAAAATTCAAATAACAAAGGAGTACTCGTAGGAATATTTACTCGTGTAGAAAAATCTTCTTGAACGTCTATAGTCAATCCTTGCGCAAGCTAGAAAGCATCTAACATAGCTAGTCTGGAAGGTGTTGCTTGCCCATTTTTGCTGCTACTTATTGTCAGCCACTAGTCAGACTCTAAATAGCGTCGATCGTCTGAAAAATCTAGCTAAACAGGTTGGTAATCTTAGAAGTACCACTTCGACAAAAAAAGTTTTTATACATGCCAACATTTGGGGCTCAATTAGGGCTAATTTAGTACCACATGCAAAAATTTAGGGCCTTTTACCTATTTAGAGTAACCTTCATACAGCTAATTGACGTCAAGCTAGAAGTACCACACTATAGTATCTAAATATTTTCCAAAATTTCTTCTATAGAAATTTAGGGCTCACAACTAAGACTATTTAAAATTTTCAAAAACCACCCCTAAGTTCAAAAAACATCCCCAATTATTAAAACTTGATTTAACCAAACAGAATTGCGCTTATCGTCGTGCTCAAGGCCGACTGGGATGCCTGGTTCCTTAAGAACTATAACTCCCGATCTTAAAATAAGCATATCTACCTTCTAACGAAAGAACTACCGACATGTTGAAACGGCGCGGCGGCGATTTGGCAAGCCGCCTTGCTACCGATGTACCATGGGGAAAGAGGAGGGAAAAATTGCCGTTGTAAGGTCCTTAAGAACCAAAACGGCGAAGAAAACCGGGTGCCCTTCCAGGAGGAGACGGTTAGCATTGATTCTCTTCGCCCGTGCAAGTAGAACTTGAGCGGAAGAAGGGAATCAAAGTACCCGGCGGGGACCTCGTGGAGGTTCCGTCTCCGAGCTAAGCTCCACCCACCGATGGTCTGGTAGGTCACACACACTCATACAATAGGGTGCCCAATGAAATGGCGGAACGGTTAGTAACATTTATCTTGGACCCGAAAACACCCCAACAGGAGTGGGCGTGAGTTGGCGAGGACAAGAATCCTGCACTTCCAACGGGGACCACGTGGAACATCCGCTCCCAGACCGAACAATTAGACCGCACCCTACCGAAAGAGTGGTACTGGAATGGTACTGAATTGGACTTGGCTTGAGTTCCACTTCAGTACCACTTCAGTACCACTACCTGATAACCCATAAGAAGACATTTTTAAAGTACTTTAACAGTAGTTTTAAAGGTATATAAGATCAACAAACCGTCTCTCACGATATACGTGTAAAACAGCAAAAAAAACATAATAGTTTGTAGAAAATTTCTGTTAAGTTTGGAAATTATATTGCAATCCCTCCTTGAACAATAGACCCCTAGTTCCTTTGTTGCAGGATTAAAATTTTAACCCGAGTTTTATTGCTTAAAAAATTTATAATTTTAATAACTCAACTTTAAAAAATATATATTGAGATTCGTTAATATTTCCAGATTATGAATATCTAAAATTTATCAAAAAAAAATTACATTCAAAAAAGTTATAATTTATCTCGTATACCTTAAGTTTGACAAAAAAATGGACATAATTTTTGAATTTAGCTGCCAAAGGACATATCATATGCATAATAATGTATGAAAATAATATAAATCCAGGAAAAACAAATATAATATTGAAATAAATATAAAGTATTAGTTTAAACATATTGAAAAAGCTAGTCGCTTTTCACTTTTATGAGGGTATTAACGGTAACTCGATCCTTTTCGCAGGTAAATTTCCCAGTTCCATTTCAGTACCAAAATGCACCAAATTAGTTCTGAGTTGGTACTGAGCCCTCAGTTCCAATTTGCCAGTACCAATCCAGTACCACCCTTCCGGCAGGGCAGTCTGAAACCACAACGGTCTCACCCTGCCTCCGGACGAGGAGACGTACTGCGTTCAAATTTCCCTCTTTAGTCGCCTCGTACGACACGCGATGGGAAACGGCAAGACAAGTTCTCCGGCCACTTTGCACGGGGAGGGTCCCATTTCACATGATGAACACCTGGCAGGCGTAGTGCACTCATACATCATCGGTAATGTCCAATCTCAGCGTCTACGTCGAAGCGGTACTTAGCTAGGTGGGTACAACCCTCCGCACCCCTTTTAGTCTCCTTTTACGACATGCAGTGGGTTACAGGCGCCCTATTCTGAAGCCAGGAGCGCCACGGCGGGATTTAACCAAACAATAATCAAATAGGAATTAAGAACTAAATTAGGGTTCTTCAATAGCACTAAACTGACTTTTTAAAACTGCACCCCCAAGCACCCCAGCCAAGTAACTGATAGATAACCAACCACAAAAACTACCCTCAAATAATTCAAACTTAATATTTACAAAAAAACAAACACATACACATTTAGAGCTCTTAAAAAGCACTTAATTAGATATTCAAAAATGATCCACCAATTTCAAAAACTACCCCTGAGTAGTTCAAACTCAATTTTTCCAAAAAAAAAAAAGTACTAAAGAATTTGAGGCTCATAAATAGCACTAAATTGGATGTTCAAAATTGATCCACCAATTTTAAAAACTACCCCTACACACCATGCCAGAACTAAAAAAAAATTTTGACTAAAATGGATCCAAAATAGGGTTTTTGGGGATCATTCTACATCATATCAGAAGTAAAAATCCGTTGAGATCAAAATTCTAGCTGCTCCTTTTTTCGAGATACACGGAAAGATATCTTGTTAGAATAGTTAATAAATTTGAATAGAAATTTTGATATTTTTCTTTTTCAATTGCGAAAAATTCTGGTTTGATAATAAAAGTTGGTACAGTTTTACGAATACCTTTAACTGGAAACATTTTACGAAAACTGAAATTATTATTTCTTAATTCAAATCTACAATTTTCGAATATTGAAAAAATTATAGGAAAAAACAGTATAGGAAATTTCGTAATTTGCTAAAACTATACGAAAAAGTAGGAGTGGTGTTATAAAATAAAGCACGTTTCAATATTTGCTAAAACTATACAAAAGAGCAGGAGCCGTGAAAAAAAGAACGTCGAAACCACCAATGGCTCTTTTTTCAGGTTTTCTCTCTTTTTCTATTCGAGGGTAGTGGGGGTCTTTCTTAATACACACACATAACTGGTACGCTTTGATTGGCTTAAAATTATTCCTAACACATCCTAACTACAATACGCATACATAAACGCAGAATAACGCAACGCATATAGATACATAATTCACGCTGAAACGAGAAATTCTGAACTTCTTTATATACTAAATAGACAGATTTTTCTGCACTTGTGAGAAACTTAATATTACATTGTTAAATATTTAAAAATAAAAATAATTATTTATAAAGAAATAATAAAATATTTTATTACCTTTCAAAGAACAATTTTTATCATAAAATCATTTAATTTAATTATAGAAACAAACTTATAACAAATATTCTATAATTATATTTAGAAAAAGAAATATAGAATAATTAAAAACAATTATTTATAAAAACTTTTTCTAGTCTATATTGCAGAAATAAAAATTATATAAAAATTATGAGCAAACAAATGAAGTACTTTATTATTAAATATTAATTAAAATTATTTTTAATTCATATTGCAGTATTAAAAATGATTTTAAAATCAGGATGTCCAGCAAGGCTTAAAAAAAAATTCCCTGACTTTTCTCTGACATTTTTTTTTCGTG